TGGGCCCGGTTCTATGTGAAAATTTACCGAGCAGAGGGGCTGCCTCGTATGAACACAAGCCTCATGGCCAACGTGAAGAAGGCTTTCATTGGTGAAAACAAGGACCTTGTGGACCCCTACGTGCAAGTCTTCTTTGCTGGCCAGAAGGTACTGGAATATGAGGAACAAGAGGCTGGGGCTTGGGTGACAGGCATTACAGATATAGGGTGACAGGTGTGGGGCCTAGGAGCAGGCACCAGCCTCCAACTGATGGGGCTGAGAGGCTAAGGCCAGGCTGAGAGTGAGGCTCCTTGCCACTTGCAGTCCTCAGACCAAGAGCTCATGTACTCTAACCCCCACTCCCTCCTGCAGGGCAAGACTTCAGTGCAGAAGAGCAGCTACGAGCCACTGTGGAATGAGCAGGTCGTCTTCACAGACCTCTTCCCTCCTCTCTGCAAACGCATGAAGGTACAGATCCGAGACTCAGACAAGGTCAATGATGTGGCCATCGGCACCCACTTCATAGACCTGCGCAAGATTTCCAATGATGGAGACAAAGGTCAGTGGCAGGAGACTGGGTGTGTTGGGGGGGCAAGGGTAGGTGTGAAGGGAAGGAATAGTTGAGACCCCATTCTTTACACCACCACCATCACCCCAGACCTTGGCCTGACTGGCACTTTAAGGGCCTTATCAACAGTTCTCATCTCAAGGGCAAGGTGAGGAGTCAGGACTCAGGCCTGCTCAGAGCCTGGCTGCCTGGATTTGACGGTAGCTGTGTGACCTTTGCACCTATTTTCCCATCTATGAAGATGATAATGACAATACAATATGATAATTACAGTACACGTGTAATCAGAGTGTGCATACTGCCCATGTATACAATTACAGTACATACATAGTACCTCATATTAGCAATCGTACTTATCTACAGACCAGTGGGAATCCAGGCTCTGTGCGGGGTGCCAAGGATATAGAGTAAGATAAGAATCTATTCCTGGCTGGGCACAGTGACTCACACCTGTAATCCTAGCACTGAGGGAGGCCGAGGCAGGAAGATCACTTGTGATCAGGAGTTTTGAGACCAGGCTAAGCAAGAGTGAGACCCTCATCTCTACTAAAACTAGAAAAAAAATAGCTGGGTATGATTGTAGGCATCTAGGAGGCAGAAGGATCACTTGAATCTAGGAGTTTGAGGTCGCAATGAGATAGGCTGATGCCACAGTGCTCTAGCCTGGGCAAAAGAGTGAGACTCTGTCTAAAAAATGATAAATATAATAATCTATTCCTGCCCTCCAAGAAACCAGTGGTTTTATTTCTTAAGTTTGGTTGTCCTGCAGAAACAAATACGTGAAAACCCATCAGTGAGGTCATTCCCTACCAAGCCCCCCACCATTGGTATGTCACTGTTAAGGAGATGAGAGTGCTGCCAGAGGGTGGGACATTAGGCAGAAGACACAAAAGGCCACATATTATCTGATTCTGCTTATTTGGAACATACAGAATAGGCAAATCCATAGAGACAGAAGGTAGATTATTGGTCTCCAGGGGATGCAGGGAGGGGGGATTTAGGACAAACTGCTAGATAGGTGCAGGTTTCTTTTGAGAAGGATGGAAATGTTCTGGAGTTAGATGATAGTTGCACAACATTGTGAATATACTAAAAACCACTGAAATGTGCACTATAAAATGGTGAACTTTATGTCATGTGAAGTCTATGTCAGTGTTTAAAATGCTATAAATGTGCTTTTTAAAAATAGGCCCAACCAAAAATAAACCAAAAAAAACCTACTTAAGCCAGAATTGTATCGTGCTACACCTGAGATCCAACACATCCTACCCATTCGAGAAGATGGAGAGGGTGGCCCTTGGGAGAGGAGGGGAGGGGTCTGCATGGGCAGGGTGACACCACAGTGGGAGGCAGACCTGCAGAGATGATGCAGGGCCACAAAGCCATGCTGAAGAGCTGGGAGGAGCTGGCATCTCCAGCTGGTAGATTGTTGACGGCTCCCAGTCCAAGCACCAGCATTCCGGGAGCCTAGCTCTGCCTCCCCATCACACAGCTCAGGCCCCCACGAGGAAGAAGCAGATCCAAGAAAGTGCTCAGCACAGCGCAGGTGTGAGAGTTCTGTCCCACACACAGTATAGTGCAGACACGAAGTCCTAGGCTCAGTGCCCAGATAGAGGCCAGGGGCCCCAGAAGAGGCTCCTCCAGCCCTCTCCCTGCTGCCACAGGCTTCCTGCCCACACTGGGCCCTGCCTGGGTGAACATGTATGGCTCCACACGCAACTACACGCTGCTGGACGAGCACCAGGACTTGAATGAGGGCCTGGGCGAGGGTGTGTCTTTCCGTGCCCGTCTCCTGCTAGGCCTGGCAGTGGAGATCCTGGACACCTCCAACCCTGAGCTCACCAGCTCCACAGAGGTACAATTGGAGCAGGCCACACCCATCTCAGAGGTGAGGACCCAGGCTGCACTGTCCCCCAGGCCCCAGCCCAGCCCCTACCCGAGAGGCAGCATGAGTCCTGTTGCTGCCCTGTCTGCCTCAGGGGCCAGACAACAGGACGAGTCCTCCTCCCTGGAAGTAGAAGTCCCCATTCTATCCCCCAGAAGGATCTTGGTCTGGCCCACCTCACTACACTCTGCCCAGAGGTCTCAAAATTGTTCCTCCTGGCTCAGCACCCATAGCTCAGTGAGTAGGGTGCTGGCCATATATACCAAGGCTGGCAGGTTCGAGCCAGGCCCAGGCCAGCTAAACAACAATGACAATGCAATAAAAAAATAGCCGGGAGTTGTGGCAGTCGCCTATAGTCCCAGCTACTCAGGAGACCGAGGCAAGATAATCACTTAGGCCCAAGAGTTTGAGGTTACTGTGAGCTGTGACGCCACACTCTATCTAGGACAACTTAGTGAGACTGTCTCAAAAAAAAAAAAGAAAAATTAAAAATTAAAAATTTCAAAATGGTTCCTCCCTCTGCCCCTCTTCCCAGCAACAGTTGTCCCTGTATTGTCCAGAGCCAGCCCTCTTCCAGGGACATCCAAGCTGGAAGGCTGCCTGGCTCTAGGACTGGGTAGGGCCCCCACCATCAGCCCAAGGGGCCTGCCTGTGAGAAGCCAGGCCCATCATTCCACCAAAGCTTAGGCAGAGTTTGAACTACCTCCCGCACAGAGCTGCACTGGGAAAATGGACGAGTTCTTTCTCTTTGGAGCCTTCCTGGAGGCTTCAATGATCGACCGGAAAAATGGAGACAAGCCAATCACCTTTGAGGTCACCATAGGTGAGGCTGGGCTCACAGGGGTCTGCTCTCTAGCCCCTGGGGAACCAGAAATGACTCAACACCTTTGTGAATGCCTGGGGCCTACAATACCCAACAGGAGGCTGACCTTTAGCTCCACCTTTTAGGGCCAGGCATGTTGGGACCTGGGGAGGAAGGAAGGGAGAGGCCCCTGGGCTAGAGAGGAGAGAGTGGGCATATGGGCCTTGGCTAGGGTGACCAGATTTTAACATCGGTAAGGTGGGACAACATGGGGGGGGGAGGGATGGGGCAGGGCAGGGCCTGACAACAATGCAAACTTTGATAAGCAGTTCTCCATAATCACTTCTCAGCAATTAATTGTTATTATTACAGTTTAACATTATAAAATTAACAAAAATATTATAAAAGTCATATTCTGGCGAAATAGCCACATGGTAGCCGAAAACCATATATTCCCTTCTTGTTCTCCCACCCGTTTGTGCATTCTTTCCAAAAATCAGGATGAGATGTGGGACAAATTATTGAAAAGCAGGACGTCTGGTCACCCTAGCCTTGGCCAGACTGGGCCTTACACTCAGACACCTGGGGGCTTCTAGAAGCCTTTATGGGAAGTGAGAACGTGAGGACCTTTCTTGGCCAGCGTTTTGTCACATCTGAGTCCCATGCCCTGATTTTCCTCTCCCCTCCCCTAAACCCAAAGTAACACCTGGATTGAATGGCAGGTGGGGCCCGGTAGGGAGGGACTCTAGACTCTCTGCTTACCTTCTGTCTGCAGGCAACTATGGGAACGAAGTGGATGGACTGTCACGACCCCAATGGTCACGGCCACGGAAGGAGCCCGGGGATGAGGAGGAAGTAGACTTGATTCAGAACTCCAGTGATGATGAGGGTAGTGACAATGGGGACCTGGCCTCAGTCTCTTCCACACCACCCATGCGGCCCCAGGTCACTGACAGGTGAGTGCTGCCTCCTGTCCTCATGTGGCCAGCCCTCCCACCTTCCTGGGCCCCAAGAATCAACCTGCCCCCTCTGCCCACCCAGGAACTACTTCCATCTGCCCTACCTGGAGCGCAAGCCCTGCATCTACATCAAGAGCTGGTGGCCAGACCAGCGTCGTCGCCTCTACAACGCCAATGTCATGGACCACATTGCTGACAAGCTGGTCAGGGCCAGGCCTGGGGCCAGCAGGGGGCTGGGGGGGGCCTATAGGACAAGGTGCTACCAGTGGGCCTTACCAACACCATGGAGGTCCATCAGCACAGCACTCACCATGGGGGCCCCGGTAGGACCTCTGTTCCCATCCCCTGTCCCAGGTCCCAGGATTCCAGGCAGATGCACAAGCAGGAGCCACTGCTAGTTACTGCAGCTTCCAGGGAACTGGAGAAAGGAGTGCCAGACTCCCTGATTCTTCCAGAAATCTTAAAAGCAAGGCTAATATGAGGTTTTTCCCCCACCTTTGCCAATGTCTTATCTGCCTTGTGAATATAACCACAATTAAAACCTGTAGCTTTCACCAGTGTGACCTGAGCCTGCAGTCATCTGCCAGACTTCCCCCTGAGAGTTAGAGTACTGGCTTCCCCACAGCTGACAGGCCTCCCAGGGCTCTCAAAGCCAGAGCTACACTCCTCCCCCAGGCCTCTACTCCCACCCCAACCCCAGGCCCCAGAGAAGCCTGAGAGTCCTGGCCCATCCCATCCTGGGGTTTCCTGGGGGCAGCTGACCACACCGCTTCTCTGGCCTGCACCAAGGCCCTATTCAGCCCTGAGCTCTGCCCAGCCCCTGTGAGTCCACCAGGGCCACAGACTCAGCCCAGAGGCAGCTTCTTCAGGAACTGAAGACTCCATGTATGCTAAGGTCTCTAGGTTCTGAGAATAGACCCTGGGAAGTCAGCAGCTTCCTCAGGAGGAACAGATGCTTCACAGGGACCTCCCTAGTGAGAGGCCCCAGGTCACGAGGCTTCTCATTCCCCTGATGAGTAGGGAGGAGCACTGGGGGAGTCAGAGGAGGCTGCAGGTCAGCATCATCCCCGCCCTGGGTTCACAGGAGGAAGGCCTGAATGACGTGCAGGAGATGATCAAGACAGAGAAGTCCTACCCGGAGCGTCGCCTGCGGGGTGTCCTGGAGGAGCTCAGCTGTGGCTGCTAGTGAGGAGGGCGGGCAGGACTGCCCAAAAGGGACCCCTGGGGCTGGGCAGAGGCGGAGAAATCCACAGGCTAAACCCCCTGTTCCCCACCCCAGCCGTTTCCTCTCCCTCGCGGACAAGGACCAGAGCCACTCCTCCCGTACCAGGCTTGACCGGGAGCGCCTCAAGTCCTGCATGAGGGAGCTGGTGAGAATACGGCTGGACCCCAGGGGCTCTAGGGAGGGTGTGGAGGTAAAAATGGGATGTCTGCCTCTGAGGTCACAGCCGCTGCCATCCTGGCTGAGCTGCCCCCTGAGTAACTGAGCTCTGTTGACTCCCCCTCCTGTGCAGGAGAACATGGGACACCAGGCACGGACCCTGCGGGCCCAGGTGAAGCGGCACACGGTGCGGGACAAGCTGAGGCTGTGCCAGAACTTCCTGCAGAAGCTGCGCTTCCTGGCAGATGAGGTGTGTGGCCAAGGGGAGGGCCTTCTCCGCGCCCCCAGGGTCACTCAGGCTCAGAGGGCCCAGCCAAGAGGCCGACACCCCTTGCACCCCTTACCTGCTGCCAGCCTCAGCATAGCATCCCCGACGTCTTCATCTGGATGATGAGCAACAACAAGCGCATCGCCTACTCGCGGGTGCCCTCCAAGGACCTGCTCTTCTCCATCGTGGAGGAGGAGATGGGCAAGGACTGCGCCAAGGTCAAGACGCTCTTCCTGAAGGTGCCAAGGGGGACACGTGAGGGGACCTGGATCCTTTCAGTGGGTCAGTCTCCCCTTGAAGGTAGCCACAGCCCCTTCTGGGTCTGGTGAGCCTGAGCCCTCTGAGCAGGTGCTCAGAGAGAGCTAGAGAGTGAAGGGGGACAGGAGGTCCAAGATGGCCCCCATCTCTCTTCATCTCCCATGCCCACCTCAGCCAGGCCCCACCCTCTAACTAAGGCCTCTGCCAGCTCCTTCCCCTTCCTCACCCTATGGGCCCTGGCAGCTGCCAAGTTCCTGGTGACCCTGTGCCTGTCCCCAGCTGCCGGGAAAGCGAGGCTTTGGCTCAGCCGGCTGGACGGTGCAGGCTAAGCTGGAGCTATATCTGTGGCTGGGCCTCAGCAAGCAGCGCAAGGAATTCCTGTGTGGCCTGCCTTGTGGCTTCGAGGAGGTCAAGGCGGCCCAGGGCCTGGGCCTGCACTCCTTCCCCCCAATCAGCCTGGTCTACACCAGTGAGTGAGGACTCCCGAGTCTGGGTGGGCCGCTCATTCCCAGCCCTCGCCTAGGAGGGGGCTGGAGGGCTGCCTACTCCCAGAGTGTCTCTGCTGTCCCCACAGAGAAGCAGGCCTTCCAGCTTCGAGCCCACATGTACCAGGCCCGCAGCCTGTTTGCCGCTGACAGCAGTGGGCTGTCCGACCCCTTCGCCCGTGTCTTCTTCATCAACCAGAGTCAGTGCACAGAGGTGAGGATGCAGGGTGGGGAGGGACTCTGGCTTTGAGAGCCCTGGGAGGCCTGGGGGTGCTGAAGACATAGGGTAGCCAGTACCCTAACTATTAGGGAGGCCTGGCAGATGACTACAGCCCAGGTCACACTGGTAACAGCTATGGCCATTAATTGTGATTATATTCACAAGACGGGGAAGACATTGGCAGGGGTGGAAAGCAAACCTCATGTCAGCCTTTTAAGATTTACAGAAGAATCAGGGAGTCTGACACTCCTTCCCCAGCTTCCCTGGAAGCTGCAGTGAGTATAAGTGGCTCCTGCTCGTGTATCTGCCCACCCACTGTCACTTGTGACCTATCTCCCATCCCATGCCATAGGTGCTAAATGAAACCCTGTGTCCCACCTGGGACCAGATGCTGGTGTTCGACAACCTGGAGCTGTATGGTGAAGCTCACGAGTTGCGGGATGACCCCCCCATCATTGTCATAGAAATCTATGACCAGGATACCATGGTATGATGGGCTCTGGCTCCAAGGACCCTCATAGCAGCCACCAACCTCATGTGCCCTGTACCCCACCTACAGCAATCCTCTGCTGGCCACCTCACCAACCATCCTTGGCCACCATGCTTACTGGGAAGCCACAAGTCTGGGCTAGTAACTAGTTCCTCCAGGTGCCTCCTACAGACTCTTGACACCCTGAACCATTCCTGACACTGGGGGGCTCAGCGTGCCAGGCCAGGGCATCTTCACCTCCTGGTACAGACTGAGTCGGGAGATGTGCCAGCAAATCCTGCACACCAGCCTCCCCCGGCCCCTGCCTACAATCAGTAACAGCCTCGCCGATCTCCATGGAGGTTCTAGAGTAGGAAGTGAAGGATTAGGAGAACCCCCAAGAGTTGGGGAGCCACCTTCCTACAAAGCACCTCAGCTGTGGAGGTGCTCTGAGAGAAGCCTGCACTAGAGATAGGAGGGCCTCTTGTCTAGTTCTGAGTCTTGCACCTGCCATTCACTGATTGCCTGGCCTCGGTGGTCCCCAAGACCTGGTTTTCTCCAGATGGGCTGCCCCTTACGACAGCTCACAGGGCTGTGATAAAGACTAACTGAGATGCCTGTCGGTATGAACGTGTCCGGCAAGCTGCAAGCCCTGAGAAGCTCTCTGGGTTGTCTGTGGTGTCAGGGCAAAGCCGACTTCATGGGCCGCACCTTTGCCAAGCCTGTGGTGAAGATGGCAGACGAGGCGTACTGCCCTCCACGCTTCCCGCCCCAGCTCGAGTACTACCAGATCTACCGCGGCAACGCCACGGCGGGAGACCTGCTGGCCGCCTTCGAGCTGCTACAGGTGGGGCCAGGGAAGAGGGTCTGTGACCTGGGGGCCTCCCTCCTTTGCACCCTCACTGAAGCTGGGGTCCGAGGCTATTTGACCTCCCCTATCTCCCTATAGCTGATGTTACATAACTCGTGGGGAGAGACCCCTTTCCCTGGCTCCTTGCATGTGACCTGTGACCCCCTTTCCCCAGATTGGGCCAGCAGGGAAGGCTGACCTACCACCCATCGATGGCCCAGTGGATGTGGACCGAGGGCCCATCATGCCTGTGCCTGTGGGCATCCGGCCCGTGCTCAGCAAGTACCGTGTGGAGGTGTGTGAGGGGCCACATGGCCTTCCCTGGGCTGCCCTGCCCAGGCCTCTGCCATGTCTTCTATCTTGGCCTCCCTGTTCCCACTCACTTTCCCTCTGGCGAGGGTCTAGTACGTACTGCACTGTTGCAGGCAAATGCAGCAGGTCTTCAGGCCTGACTGAGAAGCCTGGAGGGAAGTGACTTACCCAAGGTCACCCGTGGGAGCAGCAACAGTCTAGGGCCTGCCCCTCTGCACTGATTGCACTGCCAAATTCCAGGAGTGTCCCCAGTTCTCATCTGCTCCTCTCCTCTGCCCACACCCACCCCACAGCCCGAACTTCACTCCCTGAGGGATGCCCACCCCTCCTCAGCTCTCCTGGCCTGCTCACGCCCTCTGAAATCTGCCCACCCCACTGCCCAATTCCTTCTCTGGTGGCCCAGTGTCCCCATGGCTGCCTTCCTTGATGGAAAGTCTCTCGCTGCCCAACCGTCTCCCAGGTACTATTCTGGGGTCTGCGGGATCTGAAGCGAGTGAACTTGGCTCAGGTGGACCGGCCACGGGTAGACATCGAGTGTGCAGGAAAGGGGGTACAGTCGTCCCTGATCCACAATTACAAGAAAAACCCGAACTTCAACACCCTGGTCAAGTGGTTTGAAGTGGTGAGTGCAGGCCAGGGCAGAGTAGTGGTGCAGCTCAGCTTGGCCCGGTTTCTCTGCCCCCTGCCCTGAAGCTCAGGCCCTGCATCCCCAATACCCCCAGGACCTCCCAGAGAATGAGCTCCTGCACCCACCCTTGAACATCCGTGTGGTGGACTGCCGGGCCTTCGGCCGCTACACCCTGGTGGGCTCCCATGCCGTCAGCTCCCTGCGTCGTTTCATCTATCGGCCCCCAGACCGCTCAGCCCCCAGCTGGAACACCACAGGTATGGCCACACCCAGGACCCAGCCCTGGCCCCACTGTATTCACAGAAGGGGCTCCAGTTCACCATCCAGTCCAAGCAGCTGCTGGAGTTTTCTCCTCAGGGGAGCCTCCAGGGTGCTGGGAGAGGGCAGGAAGGAACATCCTATCCTGGTGGCCAAGGAAGGTGCCCAGGACTGCCCCTCACTCTACAGCCAGAGAGAGGCAGAGCTGGAAATGACCTTACAGGGTGTTCAGGCAGATGGCGTCCAGCAGGTTGATAAAGAAGGCCCAGCCTTCCTCCCAGCAGCCCCCCTCCAGGCCAGCCCCCCACCTCTCAGCCACTCACTCTTCTCCCGGCTCACTCTCTGTCCCCTTATGCACATCTTTTCTCTCTCAACTTCCCTGTCCCTTTCCCCTCAGAAGGCTCCAGAATCAACTTTAGACCTTTGCTGTTTCCTGTTTCTCCCGTCTGCCTGTCTGTCCGTCTCTCTTCCAGTCAGGCTTCTCCGGCACTGTCGTGTGCTGTGCAATGGGGGTCCCTCCTCTCACCCCACAGGGGAGGTCGTGGTGAACATGGAGCCCGAGGTGCCCATCAAGAAACTGGAGACCATGGTGAAGCTGGACGCGGTAAGGCAGGTGGGGTCAGCCCTGTGCTGACTGGGGACAATGTCATGCCACACGTCCTGTGAGCCAAGCCAAAGGGACCATGGTTTTCCCTCACAGCCATTCACCTGTGACACACCCAGGCCTGGTCTTCAGGAGGAGTTCCAGCCAAGCTCCTCGTTCCTCCTGGCTTTGAGACTAGGGTGGTTCATCTGCCAGAGGGACCTGTCACCTGGCGCCTGGATGTGGACGGGCTGCAGACCCATAGGGGAGAGCAGGATGGGGCTGGCCTGCTTCTAGCCAGACTGAGGTCCAGACACTGAGAAGGGGCGGGAGTGGGCTTCCTGCCTACCACATTCTCTTATGCCATGCCCGACCTCACGTGTTTCATGCAGCCCTCCTCATTTAAGGAGCTTAGTCTGAAATGATACCAGTAATTCTGAACCCTCCAGGGCCTACCCAACCAGCAGGTTATCTCTGGTCATTGCTCTTGGGAAAGGGGAGCAGAAGAGGCCGCAGCCCTGGGGTGCACTGCCAGGAAAGCCCACCACTTTTCAGAGGCCCTGTCTCCCCTTCAGTGCCACCTTAGAGCCCCTCCCTAAGCAGCCTCTCCTCCTTGTGGCGGGCAGGCAAAAAGCCTCCTGCCCTAGTTCTAGGCCATTAGCAATACAAGACAGAGGATGATGGCACAGGCCTGAGCTTCCCCCTGTGGTTCCCTCATCCTGGCTCTGGCAGGGTGTTTGGCCCCGTCCCTTTTCACTGTGTGACTGCGTGTGTGTCAGCTTGATCATCGAGGCAGCCTGCCCTGGGAAAGTGGAAGAATGTGTGGAATTTGACTTGTGTGGCCAGGATTCCTATTCTCCTGCCCAGGGCAGCCTTCCCTCCTCGACCCTACTGCTCCTTGGAATCACCGAGCACTGTAAAGTTTTATCAGTGCCCAGCGACCCCCTGAAGACTCAGTGGAGCCCTAGCACCAATATTATGACCAAGAGAGTAAATTTTTAATGTCCTCATCACCAAAAAAATTAAATATTTACAATGCTAGCCTAATTTAATCAGTCCACATTATATTAGAAAATTATAACACCATGTTATACTCATAAATGTATACAACTATAGTTTGTCAGTATACAACTATAATTTGTCAATATACAATTTAAAATAAATAAATATTTTTACAAAATCTCCTGAGGTGATTCTGCCATGCTCCAGGGCTGAGAGCCATTGTCCCAGAAGTCTGAGGAAATGGCAGAAACATCCTTGAAGCAGACCCTCTGTGCTTGTTCAGGCACAGTTGTCCCGTGTGCACAGGAGCTCCCTATTATACCCAGGGGACGTCTGTTGCCACATTAGCCCTCTCAGCTCCTTTCCCTCTCTCCCACATACCCTGTGCTGCACCACTGCCTGCCTTGTGGTTAATTCTGTCCCTGTCTCCTTGGTTCCCTTCTGCAGACTTCTGATGCTGTTGTCAAGGTGGATGTGGTGAGTGTGAGGACCCTGCAGGGGCTCTGGGGTGAGAGGGCCCTGCACTGGCAATTGTGTTGAGCTAAAGAGCCCAGTGTAGGACTGATGCAGTCCCAGGGCCTGGATGCTTAGGCCAGCACAGCCCTCCAGAGAGGAAGACAAAGGGAACTAGATGGGCAGCAGGTGCCTGTGTGCCAGTCCCACCTTGGCCAGCAGCCCACGTTGGCAGGTTATGACTCTCTTTGGCCCATGTCATCCCTCTTTACCCCTTTGACCTTGGTGGCCCCACAAAGCCTCATGGAGCCCAGGCCTTCCTGGGAACAGAGGGCAGAATGGGCAGGGGCCCTCGGGCTTGTCCAGGGTTCTGGGAATGGCCAGAGGAGCAGTGGTCCATGCAGGACTCTGGACCTGGCCAACCCTGCAGGCTGAGGAGGAGAAGGAGAAAAAGAAGAAGAAGAAGAAGGGCACCACAGAAGAGCCAGAGGAGGAGGAGCCGGATGAGGCCATGCTGGACTGGTGGTCCAAGTATTTTGCCTCCATTGACACCATGAAGGAGGTGAGGCCCTGGGCAGCCACCGGGGAGCTGAGAGGGAGTCAGGCTAGGGGAGGTGAACACTCAGACCTGCTGCCAGCTGCTTTCTCATTCCTCCCCAGAGCTGGTTCCTGACCTCCATTACAATGAACTTGGGATGGCCTTGGCTCACATCCTTGAAGTTCTAGCTCAGAACTCACCTTTTCCATGATGGGCGTCCAGCCTACCTTTCCCTGCTTGGTTTCCTCTTGTCCTCATTCACTCACTCCACAGACATCTCTTCAATATACATGATAAGCCAGGCACCATACAAGGTGCTGCAGGAGCCCAAAGATA